TTTTATTATAATTTAATTTAAGCTTAATAATGAAATAATTTATTTTTGGTTTAATAATATAACATTTTATAAAAATAATAATTAAGTATTCTGTTAGAACTCAATAATTATCCTAATTATATTTTAGATTTTTTATATATAAAATGCGATGGTTATTCTGTATTTGATTATGTTTATCTGCAGTTAGTTACACGAATTCAGATATGGAGCTTTAATAAGTTGTACTTACGCACAATTTAATTGCAATATTGAGTTTTCAGTAATATGCATTAATAAACAGTACTTTACGCATAAAAAATGGTTTTTTTGTCAAATGCTTTATAATATAGTATAGATATATATTAAACAAAATATTAGAGCATCTTCAATATATTTTTCAAGATAAAGAAAATCGAGATTTTAAGGAATTCCAATAAGTTTTATGCTCCAATAAATTCTACAAATATGAGAGTGAAATTCTTCATATTTAAGAACTTTCCAAAAATGATCACCACAAGAGAAAAATATACATTTTTAATTATATTTCCACTAATAAAAATATATGAAATTAAATGCATAGTAAACAGAAACATTATTTTATTAAAAGTATGAAATATTTTAATAATATAATTAATACTGTAATATTTAAAATAAAGAAGTCGTTGAAGCTCAAGGTGAATTATTATTAGAGATTTCAAAATTTAATTCTACAGTTTAAAGAAATCTTAAAAAATCTGTTGGAGATCCTATTATACCATCGTTAAAGATATTGTATAACATATACTTGGATTCTATCTATATTTAAAGTGCATGTTTCGCAATACTATAAAAATAATAATAGTAACAGTTCTAATCCTTTTCTTCACTCTCAAATTGGAACACATCTAACAAGAAGAGCAATATGAGCGGGTTTCAGAAAATCTGTAAAAGTTATTCTATATTTTTCTAAAATAAAGTATCGAAAGTTAAAATCTCTAATAAAATTGCATCCAGCTCTAATAATTACTATATTTAAATAATTTTAACATTAATTATATTATCAAAATATTCTTTTCTCTCTCTAAATATTTAATTTCAATAGCATTTAATTTCTTTCTCTTATTTAGAGTTTTAAAGATTTATCCAAATTTAAAGATTTTTATATCTTCTCTGTTGTTTTTAATATTTTAATATAATTATTGGAGTAAAAAAAATTTAAATATAAAAAATCTTTATTATAAGATAGTTGTCGGAGATACTCTTAATTTGCAAGAGATAAAAAAATTCAAATCCAAGAAGGAATAAAAATTCTCTTGTGGCCACGAAGGTTCAAATGTGGTAACTCTAGGTCATCTGCAAAGCAGGTGGTCGTCCTGGGATTAGTCGGCTCGCATAGCGGGTTGGATATCCAGGTTAATAAAAAAATAAAATAAAATTGGGGTTTAATATGTAGTTATCGGAAAGGTTAGGGTGGTTTATTGTAATATTATCCAAAAACAACCCAATGGAAGAAACGTTTGCTGGCTGTCCCTCTCTTGTTCATAAAAAGGCCACACACAGCACAGGCACACACACACACACCCCCCAGTACACAACACAGCGTGAGGGTTTCCCCAATAGAGAGAGACAGATAGATTATTGATAGAGATTCTATATGGTGTCTCTATTCATCTTCCAAAATTGGGGAAACTAGGAAACACCATCCATGGTGTTGCACTGAAAACACATTAAATTCAACTTTCATTGTGTTTTCATGGCGCTTTCTATTTGAAGTCTGTTGGTTTGAATTCGGTAACAGGTATTGAATTCATGTTTAGTAGTGATTAATAGTAATTGTTGCAATACTTTTTTTCAATTACATTTTGCATTATCTTATTGACACTGTTTATTAGATTACGGTAATCCCGGTGAAAATCTAGAGGATCCACATTTATTAGTATCTACGTGTTCACACACGCCCCTTTTGTAACTATGGAGTTGAATCTCTCTATATATAGGGTTTCGTATTCAGTTGAAAATATTGCGTTTTGGGGTTGAAAGGTTTCCTGCTGTTTTTGTAAGTAATCAAGCAGGGTTATTAATTGAATTTGTTTGGAAAACCTTCAATCACATACTTCTTTTTGGTTTTTGGAATTGGTTTATTTTGAGTTGTCATTGTTTATCTGTTCTTTTGCTTTGGATTTCGGTTTGAGAGTACTATGTATGCGAAATTTATGTTTTTGTACGATTTAGGTGTTTTGGCTACAGGATTGACTGATTTGTGATTTGGTGGCTCTGGTTGCATTACAATCTGCGCCTCATCATCAAGGAATTCGCTTAATTTGGTAAAATTTTCTTCTATGAATGAAGTAGGGCATTTCTTATTTTAGGCTTACATTGGCCAATTTTCTTAGAGAATTCGTAAGTAGTGTTCGAGTTCGGCTTGATAAAGTTCATTTTTTAATCTTGAGATAGTCTTCCATATTAGTTTTTTTTCATGAACATGATAAGGAGTGGCCTTTCCCAAATCTGATTAATATCCTTTTTGGTCGATTGTTCTTTGAGGAAAGTATTCATCTGTCAATGTGCTTTTGAACCCAAACGAAACTTTTACGATGTTAAGTTTGTGGGTCACTTTTCTATGGTGAATTTTCAAGAAGTGTAGAATCTTGTATTAGTCTTATACTTGCATTACTGTTGTGATGATGGCTTTTTTACACAAGGAAGAAAACAAAAAAGAAATTTGTGCCTACAATTAAACAGTTTTAATGGTTGTTTTTTAAGTTAGTGTGTTAGCTCCTTTATATTGCATTGATGTGTTTCAACTATCATATTTTATTGATCATGTTCATTTTGGCTGATATTTTGATGCAAGTGTTCTTCTATTTCTCATTCATTTCCATGAAACGATGACAATGAAGATAAACATGTTAGTTGTACTTCTCATCTGTGAAATATATTTTAGCACCAATTTTTAGACCCTTGTAACTTGTTGCTTGGATGAAGCATTCCGCCAAAGTCCGATATGCATTCGCACATTTAAGTGATTCAAACAAAAATGGGTAGTCTGTCGAAAAGATGAAATCAATTATTTAACTCCTTTCAGTTGTTACATTTCTTTAAGACTACTCTTAGTAATCACTAGTAAGTTGATCGTCTGGTAACTGCTAAGAAATATACACTTTCAAATTAGTTTTGATCTTCCGAGTTTTGATTTTGAAAATAATGTGTTTCCTTAAATCTTATAAAAGCAGAGTGAAAGTTTTTTAATATCAAAAAAGGTATAAAGAACATATTGTTCTGGGTCATTGTTTGACTTTTACTTTGGATTTCTTCAAGGATAAATTCGTAATTTGAACAGTTTTGGATATGACGATTACAACTAGTGAGTCGTGCATGATACAAAAACTTTCTGCGTGTCAAAGACAATGTATACTCTGACCAAAGCATCTATTCAGAGAGGCCGTTAAAAGGATGGTTGATGTCATAGCTGATTGACTTTTTAAGTTCGTGGGCATTTAGTGGCAGAATAGGTTTATTGCCTAGGCACTTTGCTGTGTATTAAGCATCTTGGTTTTGTCCATGAAGGTTAGGCATGTGTCTTTTGGAGTTGGTGAACATCTTACCTATTTTACATTTTCTTATATAGCATACAGGTAACTGGTGTCCCTGGCAGTTTCATTCTCGTATACGATATTAAGAGATTAAAGTTATGTCGGTAGCAAATGGAAGAAAAGAATGCATATTGATTTACCTTGCAAGTCTTTTGGGGCATGAACCCTTGATTAAAACAACATAAAGTTGAATACTGGTAACTTCTGTTTCGTTGTCTAAATTAGGTCTTAGAGCAATGGTTAGGCTTGGAGAAAGGTATTTGAGCAGTTAACTTCTTATTATTTTCTTAATTTATGTAAGTAGCTGATGATCGAGTCGCCAGCAGGCATAATAATGCATCTATATGACTGATTATATCCCTTACCTTACTAATTCTTACTGTTGTCATAGACTATAAATTGCCTGAAAAAACACAAACCAATTCGTTGTCCATTTTTTTCGTTTAAGAACTCGTGGCTTCATCCTTTTCTGGTGAATGTTCCCCTTTAGTTTCTTACTGAAGCCTAAAGTTCGGTAGTAATAATTTGTTTCCACATTAATCACCTTGATATAGTTTTTTCGATAAAAAGCTAAAAGTTTATGAATCCGAAGTCTTGAAGCTTAAACAGACTTTTTACTTGAGCTTTTTATATGTTTTAGTTTCAGAGTGATTCCAAGTGGATATATGTGTCAACATTTGACCAAATGATGTATTTAAAATTTAAACAGTATAGATAACAACATTTTGTATTAGTCATCTGAGGTCTAAAACAGTTGCATACATTTTGACTTACGAGTTGTTTTTATCCTCATTTACTATTTAAGGTGCTTGTCCTTCATTTTTGTATGTAGTATTCTGTCAAAGTTTATGATTAAGAAATGATTGCATGCACTGTCTGGCCATCAAGGTAGATTTAAAAAAAAATATTTTACCATTTTAAGAGGGATGTAAGATAGAAGTCAATAATGGATATAGGAACCAGATATAGGTTAGTACACTAGAACAAATGTTCTAACTTTTTTTGAACTTCTGAAAATGATTTACAGTCGTTGCATCTCTCATTTTTTCCAATTACATGTTGTTTTAAGTGTACATGCATGGACTTTCTCTGCTCGTTTGTGTGTGGTCACTCTTTTCTTTTTCTTTTTTTTGTTTAGAGATACAACTGAAGAGCAATTCTACGTATCTTCCACATGTGAAGGTTGTTTTTTAATAATGTTCTGTTATTTTGTGATAGTTGTAAGATACCGCCCACAATCAATATCCAAAGGAACTGAATGTAGGTTACCTTGGAACGCATGTTTACAACTCTTTCCATACTTGTACGAAAGATTTTGGAATGATTTAATCTCTCTCTCCAAATTGCATCATTGCATGCTGTTTTACATTTACATGCTTATTCTTTGTGCCATTTTTCGTAAGATGTATGTTTTAAAGGGATTGTCCATTCGTAAATGGAAACTTCTACTTGCATTTTCATTTTAGAAATGCAAGAAGTACATGAAAATTACATATATTTACCTGTTAAAGGAGCTTGTGGAAATAAAAACCAGAAAACTCAATGAACAACACATGTAGAAGTGGTACAATCCCTTTCAAAGCCTCTTCTTTGGCTGATTAGTCAGAAAGCCATACCATCATTACGTTCTAATGTTATATGTTGATCTTTTTATTTTTCTGCTAGTATTGTGTTTTCTTTTGCATAGAGATATGATCGTTCGATGTCATGCATACATATACATATATATACGTTATATATCTTTTTTGTCGTTAGTGTTTGATTGGAGACTCCAATTCTTTACAAGTCCTTAAGACTTAAAGACGTAGTGTGAAATATATCTTGGTGCAACTTAAATCATCGTGTTGAGTGAAAATACATTGTCATTCTCATTTCAGATGGGAAAGAGAATAACTTGCTTTCTATGAATGCTTTGACTCAACTGATTGTAAGCTAATAAACAGTTAAAGGCTGCATTCACAAATGAAAACAAAAACACTCGTTTCTTCCCTTAGGGCGTAGGGTATATCCAGATTCCCATAAATATTTCTTTTATCACTCAATTGAATGTTTGCTTTCCTAGTCTGCTAAATTTGTTTGGCCATAAGCTTAAATGTACTTTGGTAATGTCTATTTTTGCAGGGTATGGGTTAAATGATATTTAATGGCTGTGTTTACGATTTCTCAGTGATGAGAGCAAGTGTCCTTGAATGCCCTTGTTTTTCGTTCAGTCTTGGAAGTGGTAACTGACAGGTGAAGCGTTATGATGCTCGAGGACTTCTTTACCTTAGCCGAGATAAAAGATGGGCTCACATCTCCTGATAGAGTTAAGGAGCTCATGACCGTGATGCAAAAGGAGAAAGATTCTGTTGTCAAGAATGTTGGTGATGCATCCACACAGTGGGATATGGTTGCAAATGTTATTGTGGTCACTGAAAGCAAGGAATGCCTTGATCTTTTTGTTGAATTGGATGGACTCCGGTTGATTAAGAGTTGGCTCAAAGATGCTCACAAGTTTGGAGATGAATCCGGCATCCATGACTCAACCATTGCATTGTTAAGAGCACTTGATAGGCTGCAGATAGATAAGAGCAGGTTGGTGTGTTCTGGAATACTAACAAGTGTTCTAGGACTTCTTGATCATGACGATTCTGTGGTTTACGAGAAAGCGAAAGCTTTGTGGGATAAGTGGATGCAGAAGCAGGATGGTGAAACATATCCTCCGTTGGCTAGTTCTCCTTCATGCAGTGATGATGATGATGAACAACTTTCAAAACAATCTGGTGATGAAATGAGGCCATTGGTATGCTTCGGTAGTGTTCGGGAAGTAGATAAAAAAGAGAAACCATTAGCGGATAAGAACGTGAACCCTCGAACGACAAAGGTGGTTCTTGGTGATACTGGTGACAACGATGACGAGGTGGTGGATTCCAGTGGCGGTGAGAATTGTAAATGGGCGATAGCTGAAAGTGAGAGTGGGGCTGCTGATACAAAGAAACAAGTTGGTGGTCAAAGTGAGGACGATTCGGGGATTGGTTCAGGTTTCTCCAAACCATTGATAAATGGCGAAGGCGGTGGTGGAATGGTGGAGGTTGCTAGAAAAGTTGCTATGGAGGTGGAAAGAGAAGTTGATTCTAAGGGTGGAATTGAAAGGTCAGTCTCTAGAAATGGAAAAGAAAGCCTACTTATTGGTGGTCCGACTAAGCTAGCTTCATCTGGACCCGGACCTTCTACGAAGGTTGTGCATGTTAATAATGGCGAAGCTACCCTTGGCTTAGTTTCTGAGGTGGCTCAAGAATCGGAAGTCAACACCGAAAGATGTTTTCCTGGGTTTGATTTGAATCAAGAGGGTTGTTCTGAAGAAATTGAGCGTCCGGTGACAACCCCAATCTCTGTTGTTTCTGCTTCCAGGGCCGATATTCAATCTGAGGGTGACCTTGGATGGAAAGGATCTGCCATGACCAGCGCTTTCCGACGGATTGCTGAGTGTGGGACCTCGCACAACTCTAAACAACGTTCAGATCGTCTCAATATTGATCTGAATGTTGCCGAAGACGGCGAGGATAAGATTGGAGGCTACTCATCGCAAAACAAGAACCCGATCATATCCAGTCTTCCTTCTGGGGAAGAATCTTCCATAGAGGCGAGTCCAAGGAAATCAATGAGGTTGCATTTAGATCTTAATAGTCTCGGTGATGGCAGTGTTGACAATGTTGTTCTAAATCAAAACGGGGGCCGAAGTCCATCTCAATCCTCTTCATCGTCCGTAATGCAGCCTTCTATGAGGAACATCGATTTGAATCTGAACGACCACTCAAACTTTCCAAATGATGGTTTTTCGAATCATCATAATCTGTTGAGCCAAGACGAGTCTGCTATTTCGCTCTTCGGTACCAGAGTTGAGAATGGTATTCTGCAGCCTCCTCCTAACAGAAGGATGTTGGAGCCTGCAGTGAGGAACGGTGTGGGTGTGCATGGTTTTCCATTTATGTATCTCTCTTCTCCCTACGGATCAGTAGGTGCACCCACTCCATATATGGTTGATCCAAGAGGTGGAGTAGGTGCACCCACTCCATATATGGTTGATCCAAGAGGTGGGGTTCCGCCTCAACCACCGCCTACGGCTTTCGCGATGAACATGGATGCTGGTGGTTCCCAAGATAACGTGGATTTGATGATGAATAATTGCCATGGAGGACCGTCGAGTTGGGTGGTTGGAGAGAAACGGCAAGAACCAGATGGCGGATGGGATGGTTTCTCCGGTGATTACAACTACCAGCAGCCACCGTGGAAATGAGATCCATAAGGATAGAGTATTATTATTATTATTATTATTAAGGTTAATTATCTGAAATAAATGTATGATATGGGAAGGGGAGTGAAAGAATTAATTAGGGGTTTTATAAAACATATTAATCAAAGTATTTTAAAATTTACCTATATTTGGAACTTCCTTCTTTCTTTAAATAGTAAGTCTATTAGGTTTTACAATCAATACTGCTTTCAACACCTCGTTGCCACTACATATACAAGTTTCAAAATGGGTTTATAATGTCACTTTAAAGGGTACATAGTTGGAAGGGAAAAAAAATAATACACATGGAGTTTATTGAAATGTCATTTGAAGTAGCTTTTTACTTATAACTTTTAGCTTCCAAGTTAGTTTAGTAACGTGAAAAAATGGGGCGTAAACTAAGGATTTTTTTTCCAAATAGTGTCGAATTTTATATATAACTATACACAGGGATTCCTGCCTTTGTTGGAGGCCAAAGCGAGGTCAGAGATGACACTACCCGTCCCTAATTTGACCCTAAATAAAATTTTATTTTGCCATATATATATAGGGGCCTATTCAAGGGAGAACTGAATTGTTTGTGGTAACTGTGAGAACCAATCTCAACCAATCATTTTAATATATTAATTATACAATTAAAATCAAACTAAAAGGGTATGTTAGTCAATTCCTAATATAAATTTAAAATTTTTAAATGCAACCGTTTCAAATAAAATAAATTAATCTTGATTTACATTCCTAAAATAAAATATTAATATGATTTAGTAAAATAATTTAAAAAATAATAATCCGTTTATGTAATCATGTTCATGATTCTGATGGATCACATGAAATCACAAATATTTTTGATGTGCAAACTTGTGATACATTATTAAATGGTCCTTGTATATGTTTGAATCCATGTTTTCATAATACTTCTTACTGTCTACTCTGTATTGGTTTTATCTTCTTGTTTTGATTCTGGAAATCTTTAATATCTACAATTATGTGTATCTTCTTGTGGTACTGTGTATATAAAGACAATATATACATGTGCAAACTTGTGGTATATTAATAAATGGTAAATTTATATGTTTGAATTCATGTTTACAAYTATTGATCAAGCAGAACAGGGCTTATCAATATCACCAGGTGGTACTAATTGAATACTCAAGTTCCATCTCTCTATGTTAAGATTGTCTAGCAAAACAAAACCTCAGCAGGTAGCACAAATTGAAGACAAATNCACCACACCATTTTATGTCCAGACAAATTGAAGACAACTGATATCTGCCCAGGCAAATATGAAGACAAATGCTAAATGTTATCACAATGTATCACACCATATTTTTGCACATATTTTTGCTCTCTTCTTCTCCTTCCTACCAGTATCTCCTTCCTTTTCTGCATTCTTATCATTATCTCGCTTCCTTTTCGATTTTTTTCCACCCGAAAGATCAAGAAATCAATATTAGACCAAAGTGTAAACTAGAGAAGAAGATGCAGTAAATACAATGATAAAAGTCTCTTTAAAAAAGCATATGCATGGTTGTGAACGGCAAKGTTGTGCAGCATATACAGATGTATTATGTTAACAGTGAGTAAATATTGATCTCAAACCATGTGTTTTAAAAAATAAGATAATAGAAGGAGAAAAGTGCAGCAAGAACAATGATAGGACATGATTGATTATCAAAAGATGGTAAATTCTTTTCTAAAAAAAGATGGTAAATTCTTCTCTAAAAAAACAGAATGTAATGAGATGATACCTGTTATCACAATGTATCACACCAACAACATCAGCTTGATCGATGGTTTTTACAATGGATGAAAGGAGAACACATGAAGCTTAAATGCTCTTTTTGTAATCCCTTTGGCCTTGAATCAGGGTATCCAGGAAGAACTGGTTGTTCCAGCTCCATTTCATCRAGAAATTTCTGACTATTGCATGAGTTCTTTCAACGGTTTTGATTCTTATTGGCTATGAAAAAGTCGAACAAAAACTGGCTATCAAGAGCCAGTATTTATACAGTTATTATTTTTGGATGGCTAGCCCAGTAGAAAGTTGGAAATATGCCAATGGTCGTGAATGTTGTTAATAAACTTTTTTTAGGCAAAGTGTGAAAACCAAATCATAGTCAATGTTATAGACATGTATCATGTATGTTGGCTCTTCTGATCCAAATTCTTCTACTATAACTTGTGCAGGACTTGTCATATGTGGACTTCAGCTATGCCTGCCTGATAAATGTGTTCTTCTCACGTGCTGATCTTCATTGTGCAAAATTTCAGGTAATCTATATGCGACTTACTATTGATATGCCTTTTTCTTTCATTGAGTTCTTAACTAGCTTAGGGGCTGTTTTTTTTCTATGAAGACATGTCTGTAATAAGATGACAACTTTATATGTAAGTTAGTACTGGTGTGCACTTTTCTTTCATTGAGTTCTTAACCAGCTCCGGGGAATTTTTTTTTTATTTAGACAGGTCTGGGATAGGATGGCTTACTGTTGACAGAGATATATGGTGGCTTATTCATTTCTGTCATTTTCAGCCATTGCTTAAAATTAATCCACAAACAAATATGGTTAATGGTTGAGCGTATAAGTCACTAAACTCGTAAGGCGATTAAGAAAAAAAATAAACAGGACCCTAAGTCTGGGAATGACAGTAATTATCTTCTTCTTAAACTATTTATGTCTAATGGTATCTGCAGGAGTCATCTTATGCATGTATTTGTATAATATAGTGGCCTTATATTATTGTTTTAATTTAGTTAAACATCTAGAGTGTGGTCACATGATAGTCAAATTCTCCATTGATTGACCTTTTCATTTTACTAATTTGATCTACAATTCTGCTTTCTATATTTGATTGCAGGATGTAGATGCTGAAAATGCCATTTTTCACAATGCAACATTGCGTGAGTAAGATTCAGTGGACCTATAATTTCTCTTGTTATGATGCAAAAAGTTTTTGGTTATATAAATGCTCCAAAATATATTTGTGGGAATTCACTTACACTTTGTACCTGGCTATCTTTTGTGAACAATATGGTCAAAAGCCATTTCCATTACTAGCCACCTCAATTGATTTTGTCTTGCCTAGGGAAGATGTGAGTTCACGGGAGCAAATCTTCGTGGAGCTTTGCTGGCTGGGGCTAATCTTCAGAGTGCAAACTTACAAGGCAAAAATCTCTTCTTTTGTATTTATTAATTTGTTTGTCAAATGTCTGMTTTGGATASTAATGAGTAATGAGATGCTATGCTTAATAAATAATTTGGAGTGAATTGATCGTAAGATAGTTGGTGCTAAGTTCTACTTATTAGAAGCAAAGTCGATATGGACCAGTCATAAATGAAGCACCGAGAAGTTCTTCAATGTTAACAAAACCATACTACAAGTGTCAACTGGACGGAAATTAATTCCTAGATGCACTTACCATGCATAGTCAAGCCTTAGGAGAAGTGGATTGCATATTTGCAT